GTAGTACTGTGTAGTACTGTGTAGTAGTACTGTGTAGTAGTACTGTGTAGTAGTGTGCAGTACTCACGTTCGGTGTGACCTGGTACTCGATGAAGCTCTTCAGTCCGTACAGTTTGGACTCTTTCTTCGGATCAGCGATCACACAGTCCAGAGGAGACGTCGGGTAGAGCCACACAGGACCCACATCTCCCATCTGATTGGATGAGACAGGAGCAAATCAGAACACAGTGATCAGCGACAGATCAATAGCAGATCAACAACAGATCGATACACCTAATTACTCACATAGACAGGAAGTCTGTCTCTGCTGTTGGCTGGTGGTTTGGCTAATAGGAAGACTTCAGGACTCGGACCTTTGGAGAACGGGAACCTGAGGACACATGACATTGGGTCTACAGAGTTCTACTGGGATCTACTGGGACCTACTGAGGTCTACTGGGATCTACTGGGACCTACTGAGGTCTACTATGAGCTCTAATCAGCTGTTCCTGTTTGCGGGGTGTAAAATCGTCTTTACTTGTTGAGGGAGATTTTGACGGACGGTCCGTGGGTACTCCGTCCTGAAGCTCCGCCCTCGCCCTCCACCTGCTCGTTGCCATAGTAACCGCCCAGTGATTGGTCGTCCCAGTCGTCATCCCACTCGCCGTCGTCATCCTCACCAGCTGGTGGAGACACTGTTTGGTAATCAGCACATTTTCACCAATAAGCTGATTGATAACCCAAATCAGTTCGCACAACATCTGTATGAACCTTGTTGATTGTGTGGGTATCCTCGGCTGTCCCATCCCTCTGTGTTACTGACATAAGCCCCGCCCCCTGACCACGACTCCCCTCCTCCTCCTCCTCCTCCACCTCCTCCACCGCCAACGTTACCGATCTGAAACAACAAGGGAGGACAGATGGACTCAGTTTGTTGTTAAGGACCATCAAAGAGCCGAAGAATCTCTACATATGCAGATGATACAAGTTTCTACTTAGAAGAGACTCAAAATACACTCTGTGGCTGTTTTGTGTCTCTTTGTGGTGGTTTTGTGTCTCTTTGTGGTAGTTTTGTGTCTCTTTGTGTCTGTTTTGTGTCTCTTTGTGGTGGTTTTGTGTCTCTTTGTGGTTTCTGACAGTGAATGTTTGACAGTAGACAGTTTCAGTGCTGTCACACAACAGAACTCGGGCACACCTGTGCTCACCTGTAAATATCCTTCAGGAACCAGTCCGGTGTGTCCGCTGGAGTTCTGGGCTTCGATCCAGCCTCCACCTACACTCTGCACAACAGACACACACATCAGCACTGAGCATGTGCACCGTGTGCAGTGCATCAGCAGTGGTTGGTACCAGCAGTGTTTGGTACCAGCAGTGTTTGGTACCAGCAGTGTTTATTTGGTACCAGCAGTGTTTATTTGGTACCAGCAGTGTTTATTTGGTACCAGCAGCG